CGCTCAGGTGTGATTTTACCATCACGTCTTGGAGTGTTAGGTGATAGTGTGGTAAAAATGCTGCTGTACTGTTGACATTGTTTCATAATCAGCATTTTTTGGGTGCTATTCTGCTGCATAATTCAGGTGTCATATGAAACATCTTGGCTATGTTAAGATGTTAAGTCTGCTTTTTCCTTAGCCCAGTAAAGATTAATGCTATGTCCTACCTTTTCAGACCATTTCTTTTAGGAAAGATTTTTTTTCCCCCTCAAACTTCCCATGTAAGGGGAAAGACCTAATTTGTTTTGGCTTCCTTGCAGGGGCTCAGAAATCTCTTCCACTTGTGCAGGATGAGCTCACAGCAGGTGATGTCTGTCCTGGTGCACTGTGCTTTCTTCCTCCCTTCCTGGCTGCTGTGGCTCTTCCTCTGCAGTTCTTCCTCAAGTGGGCCTGGGGAGGAGGATGAGAGAGGGGAGATGTGCAGAGGGGGGATTTTGGGTAGCAGCTCATTCAGTGTGTGCCTGTGGGCTTCAGCACATGCTGAGGGGGGGCTGACATCAGGCTCTGAACATCCACAGCAGGCAGGCCACTGTTTCTTACATCAGTAGCATGGGAGGGAAAACTGGGATTTGCTCCAAGAGGAAAAGGGACAGGAGGGCCTAAAAGCTTCCCTTGTAAGAAATAAACTTAAATTTTTAATAGCACGCTGTTCACAACAGCAATACTTTAAGTTACCCATTTCTTCCTGCTTGGCTGGGACACTGACTTTCTGTGGTTCATTTGTGAATCAGAAAAAATCCATATTCAGATGCTGCTTTTGTCTGTCACAAAGCATCAGCAGCACTCTTAAGTGTTGAAGCACATCTTGATGTTTGTTGTGTTCATGTTTTATTTATGTTTTTTTTTCTGTTACTCACTTGAGAGCACTTGAAAGAGGTTTCAGAGAAAAGCCTCCAAAGTTTGACTAGAGAGGGGGATGCTAAGTTGTGAAATTAAGAGAATATCCCTGTTTTCAACATGGAGCTGTCATTTAGAACCTCAGTAGGAGTTCTTTCCCTATATTATTATTTTAGCAGGACTGTTTTGATTATTTTGGACTGCTAATCCCCAAAAAGCTTCCTGTGAATGATGCTGAGAGGAAGTGATGGTGTTACACTCTGAGTATCTGTGGTTAAGCTGATAATTGGACTGTATTTGAGCTGAAACCATTTCTTTTGATGTTCTGTCTGGATGGCCCAAGGTTAACAGCAAATTGTAGCCTGACTATGTTATCCTTCCTAAAGGAAAGGAGTGCTCAAGTAGACACAATTATGTAAAGTTGTTAATGACTTTAGGAGTTGCTGGTTGATGTTGCAAAAAGGATGTAGGAGTGACCCATCAAACAATGGGAAGAAAACGCAAGTAGAGTGTCACAAGGCAAGGACAGAAAAATCATCATGCCTCTAGGACACTCGTGTATCCTTCCTAAATGAAAAGAGTGCTCAAGTAGACACAATTATGTAAAGTTGTTAATGACTTTAGGAGTTGCTGGTTGATGTTGCAAAAAGGATGTAGGAGTGACCCATCAAACAATGGGAAGAAAACGCAAGTAGAGTGTCACAAGGCAAGGACAGAAAAATCATCATGCCTCTAGGACACTAAAGTTGTTTTGTGATATTCCTGGCTCCAGGAAAAATAATTTTCACCTGTCATCCTGTTGGAGCCTTTGAGAGTTTCTGTCAACTGCTCTGACATTCTTGTTTGCTCCTTGTTTCACTTTTTACCAATTATGTCCACACAAATAGGGTTCAGTAGTAAGTTCTCATTTTCTGAGGAGACTGATTTTACCAAATGAAGTGCAGATCATGCAGACAGCATTGTTTTAAATTTTTGTCTGATAAAAAGGCCTTTCTGGCCAAAGTTAATTTTGTAAGATGTATGTTGTAGCTGCTTATAATCATATTATAGGCTAAACTTTTTTCTACTATCACAGATGTCGTCTTCAATTAACCAAAACAACTGACTCTGTTCATTAAAGCAGATGCCAAATGATTTTTCATTCAATAGTAATACACACTAAGCAGATAATATTCAAGTGAAGTTTCTCAAGTGTCTAAATTTCAAAGTGCCAACTTTACTGTGGGATTTATATAGTGATAGATGAAGAAATAATTGGCAGAAGTCTCTAATTTTTAAATTCAGCTTCACGTTTTTCCTGTGGTGAGAAAATGTCAGTCCCTAATCTGCCACAGCTCCCTGGATGCTGTCTCATTATGTCTTGTGATAGGAAGTGGTAGGATGGTGATCAGGAAATTATTTGAAGATAAACATAAAAGAGTGAATGTATTGCTACAAATCATGACACAGATGTCTCTCATGCTTTAGCATGTTCCTAGTAAGTCTCCCTTGGATCGTTAATATCACTGGAATTTTTCCTCATGCTGGTGATTTTAAAGGATTTTTGTCATGCACCATTGAACAAAAAATCCTTTAAGAAGGTATTTCAGCATTCTTTGTGTCATAGAAGGAGATTTTCCAATCAGACACAGTTCCTTTGGGATAACTTGTCTGTTGTTCTTCTTCCCTGAGTATTTTGTCAATATGGGCAAATGGGGCCATCCGGATGAAAGGCTTTTTACTTTCCTTGTATAGATTTTAAATCCAATTTCAACATGTGGGCAGGCTGTTAGCTTTCCTGATCTGTTAAACCTGTGTTTGAAATTCAGCTGACAAATTTGGATTCGCTTCTGCAGAAGTCATTGAAAAGTTAACTTCATGAAGTCCATGGAGGTCCTGCACCTGTGCCAGGGCAATCCCAAGCACAAATCCAGGCTGAGCAGAGAAGGGATTGGGATTAGCCCTGAGGAGAAGGGGTTGGGATTAGCCCTGAGGAGAAGGACTTCGGGGTGCTGGTGGATGAGGGGCTGGACATGACCTGGTCTTTTGACAAGGGCACAGAGGGACAGGGCAAGTGGGAATGACTTCAAACTGACAGAGGGCAGCTTTAGACTGGATATTAGGAAGAGTATTAACACTGTGAGGGTGGTGAGGCTCTGGAACAGCTTTCCCAGAGGAAAGCAGCTTTGGCTGCCCCATCCCTGGAGGTGTCCAAGGCCAGGTTGGAAGGGATTTGGAACAACCTGGGACAGTGGAAGGTGTCCCTGCCCATGGCAGGGGGTTGGAATTGGATGATCTTGTGATTCCATGAAAGCCAGGCAATCCTTTACTACACTGCAGTTTCTGGAGTGTCTCTTGCTAGAGGATGTTCTTTTATTTTCCAGATTGGTTGTTTTGTAATAACAAATTCTTCATGTCACAAGAGAATATGTTTCCAAATTGTTTTTCTATTAAGAAATACTTTGTGTTTTGGATGGATAAAAATACCTTGGATTGCAGCTGTAAGGCAGCAGTTTAACTGTACAACACTTGTGGAGTCCTTTGTGTTCAGTGGGGTGCACAAGTAACTCTTTAGCTTCAGCATTTTTTTCTTTGCAGTACCATTTTCCCACCTATTTGTTATTGGGATGAGGCTTGATCCACTGTTGGTTTAAGATTTGTCTATCATGTTTTATATAAACAGATAGAGGTTTTTTGTGAAATTTCTTGTTTATGGTTTATTGTTTCCAATGAAGATATGATGATGTTTGAAAGCATGGGAAGGATCTGAAGGTTTCATGCTTTGATAGGGAGAGTCCCTGAGTGGGGAAACCTTGGAGGGTTTGTGGGCCTCCTATGCCACAGTAGGTAAGCTGGTAAGAGACAGTGTTTACTTGTCAGTTAAGTTATTTTGCTCTTTTCAATATTAGATTTGATGATTAGCAGTTGTATTCATTGACAAAAATCCTGAATCAAAATTCCCTGAGTCAAGACTGGTTTGGCAATTAAAGAGAATTGAACAGATTGTGGGATGGATGTAGGAAGGAATTGGGAGAGTTTTATACTGATTTTTGAATCAATTTTGTAATGATGTTCTTAAAGTAGAACAAAAGATAAAGAATTCTACATCTTTCCTTGGGTATCATCTGAGAATCTCTGCTTCTGCTTCTATGCTTCTGGCTTTGAAGCATAAACCAAAAATCTGCCATCTAATTAGTCATTCATTCCCTTTTTTTAGTGTCTCAGCCCTTACATTTTGATTGCTGTGGATTTCAGTACTGCAGAAGCAAACAAAATAAATCCTAACTGTAAATGTCACCAAACTGTTTTTCATGTTCTGACATACAATATTTTAAGAGAATGTTATTAATTTATCAATTTTGAAAACCTTAATTAAAATTAATAGCTTGTCTATTTGGTAAATAATGAGGATAGATTGAAATGTGTAATCTTTTCATGGGCCCAACTCTTGCAAGTAGTCACAGACATTAATGTTGGAATTGTCAGTTTTTTGGCATTTGTTTTCTCCAAATGTGTCCAAAACCAATGTGTAGTTAGTTAAAGTTTTCTTAGGTATTCTTGTCTAACTTCTTGCATGAACTTTTGTGGTATATCTGTGGGATTTTTTTAAAATCTTGTTTAAAAGCCACAGAACAGGAAATTCATATAGAATTCATTACCGAACAGTAACCACATCTCAATAAAAAGTGTCTTGCTCAGGTTTTTGGTGTAAAAACACCTTCTCTGCTTTAAAACTTTCTGCTTCTCTTTTGAAACAAATGTTGTTTAAAACTAAGTGGCTTTCGTCTTATCCTTTACTGATTTTGGAAATATGTTAATGTAATTTATGTCTCTGATTTAGGGGAAGAGGCACGAATTGAGCATGTGGCTTTTGGGTATTTTTACATTAATTCTAGTTTCTGTTTCAATGTCTGCAGGTGCCCCACCATTCATGATTTGTAATTCCTTTACATTAGTGTGACTCGGGTTTCATTTTCTGGGGCTTTGCCCTGCAAGCTGCTTCATCTCGTTACGCGAACTTCAAAGGATGCTTTGTGCAGCAAGACCTTGCTACTGACTGCCTGGTAAAGCTGGGTGTTCCCACTGCTCCTGGTGGTGCTGTGAGAGGGGAAAGTTTAAGTGGGGGCATCACCTGTGTGGGATTGTGGTTTTGGTGAGGATGTGTGCATCATCCTGCACTCGTGCAGGCTGTCTGCTCCTGTCCCCGTGCCTGCTGAGAGACCTGGGCTTTGTCTTTGGCTAAATCCAGGTGCTGAAATGCATTTTCCTGGGTGTGGCAGTGGTTATGTACAACTTGATACATGCTGCTTTTTAGCTTTTAGCATTCCCACATGAAAAGACTTCCTGAAAGCTTAAATGAATTGGTTCTGAAATACTCCAAGTGTGGAAATGTTGTCTGCATAAGAAAAACAATGAGACAAAAGTAAATCATGGTGAAAAGAATAACACCACAGAAAGCTTTGGAGTATATTGTATTAATGGACAATTTAGCCTTAGTAGCAGCTTTGCACAGATCAGTTCAGTAGATGAAACAAATTTAAATCCCTTGAGTCCTCACTAATTACACCACAATGAGTAACTATAGAAATGTCAATGCAAAATGTGGTCCTAACACCACAACGCTACTGAGCTGTGTTTTGTACACAAATTGAGACATTTGCATTTATGGCTTTCAAAACAACTGTAGCAGGGCCCCTTCCTGAAAGAATGTAATGGTTTTTGTATGCAACATCTCTTTGGTCCTCCTGGGATCTTGACTGCTCTGTCTCTCTCTGCAAACTGAGATTTTAATTCAGGAAGCCTGTGGGAAAGGTGCACTTTAAGGTGCTTGTTCCTGCCACCTTGCTCTTTTGGGCACTCTTGCACCATTCCTGCCAGTGAAAGGGCTCATTGACTTGAATAAGGGTGCAGGATCCAACCCTGAGTAATTAAAAAAAAAAAAAAAGCTGTGCTGGACAGGTGCATTTGACTTTTGTGTTGATCTATATATATTGACTTGTTTGAGAAAGGAATCATCTGTGATGGTCATGACTGACAAAAGTTAAACTGAAGTAAACTGTTGCGAAGGAAATGAAAACTGACATTATGTCACTTACTTGTTTATATAACAAAAAAAAAAAGATTGTGCATACTAAGAGTTGGACTTGGAAAGGATGTGTTGAGGTGATGAATTAAATTTTGTTTCATTGTTTCTTTTTTGCGCATCCAGGATGAATGAAGCAGGGAACAACTGAAATTTATTTTGCTCAGAGGCAGGGATCATTTTCTGATAGCACTAGCTTATTGCAGTCTTGCATTCCTGTTTGACTCCCTTCTGTCTTCATCACCCTCCACCTCTTCAGTTCCTTCTGTGTCTTTTAGATCTCTTGCAGGCTGGTACCAAGTTTGACTGATTCTTTTGTGCAAAATTCATTCTGACCTAGGTTCCTGTGGACTGTGATCAAGTTACCTCTTTATGTTTACCTGAGAAAGAATTAATACCTGCATTGTTCTCTAGTGAAAACAAGTGAAGCTTGTTTCCTGCTTTTTCATTTTTAAAAAGGTCCCATTTTATGCTTTTCCCCAGCTGTGTTTGAGGAGATCTGTGGGGCTGGCAGATGTAATGCTGCCTTGTTTTGTGCTGTAGCAGCTTTCAGTGCTCATGTCCCTGCCAAGAGCCATCGGTGTTGGTGAGTGATCCCATCCCTTTCCCAAACAGTGCTGGGTGCCTCTTGTTTGTGCTGGTGTGAGGCAGTCTCCTCTGAGGTGATCTGATGGAATGTCCTCTCTGTTCTGTGTGGAGCAGTCCTGGAGCTTCCACGTGGGCTGCAGGCTGTGTTCACTCTGCAGCATCCTCTGGTCACAGCTCCTGTTGTGTGCTGGTGTGATCTTGCTCCATGAACTGGGGCTGCTCCCTGTGCATCCTGGCCGTGTCTCTGTGGATTGCTGTCACCTCGAAGCTGTGTCAGTGTCCAGGTACTGCATGAGAGCTGCTGAGTTGACTTCTCTGTGTAGTGTGGCAGGCAGGATGTGTGTTGTAAAACTGACAGTACCAGTCCTGCTGGGTTGGCACTGAACATCTCAAGGCAGAGCAGTTCAGGTTGGTGATCTATAATTGACCCTGGGATATGGCCCTTGTAACAAATTTTACCCATGTGAATTCGAATTATTTGTTGCCAGTAGTAACTGAGAGGAAACTGATGTGGATGACTGGGATGGTGGTGTCAACACCCAGTTTTGCACCTCAGCGCTGGTTTTATTCAGTGTATAGATGCAGCCAGTAAAGATGAGGTGTTGCTCTGAGAAAATGAGGAGCTATTAAGGCTTCACAGGTTCCCTGTGACCTGCTGTTTTGTCCTGTGTCCTGACAGGTTGTGTGGTAGCTGTATTTGATTTCCAGCTTAACTGCTAGAATTCTGGGGGACCAGGGGATGTAACTTACCCCTTAAATTTCAGTTTACTCTTTTTCAAGACAACCATGATGGTAGTGACTTCAGATTTTATTCCAGATCTCAAAGGGGCTGTACCAAAGGTCTGCAAATGGGTGTGACAGCTCAGAGTCTGTGCAATTAGTAAATAGTCAGGTGGGGAATTTGAAGTTCTTAATGATGCCATAATAACCAAGTTACTTGTGTTTGAGGTAAGTGGTCAAGTTTCCTGCTGGCAAAAACCATTAGGGTTTTCCTGCCTTGCTCTTTTCTGTGGGCTGTAATCATTTGCATGTGACCTTGGAAGCATGACCTGACTGTTGCCTGCTCTTCAAAGGGCTTCAGATGCAATTGTTGATCTTTGTCTCTCCTTGTCCCACCCTCACAGGGCTTTTTGGCATTTGACCTTCTACTGTGATTATCAGTAATGATTTCTACCTGTGCAAAGAGACTGACTGAGTCATCTTCTGAATTAGATACCCTTGAAATTGCAGTGGGCTGGATTTGATATCTGGAGGGGGTACTTCTGTCTCCTCATCTCCTTCATCCTGGTGTTTAAGAACATCCGTTTGTTTAAGAATGTTCAATCAAGCAGTGTTTTCAAGTGGCAGTACAGGCTGGTTCAAATGGGTCATATCACCATAAGCAATAACAAGAGGTGGAAAAGAGAATGAGGAAGGTTATCCCTAGACAAAAGTCTTCCCTTAGTCTTGCTCTTTTTTAGAAGTTCTTGCGACAGAACTCTTGGCAGGAGAACAGAAGAGGTGAGCACCTTTGCAGTGGAGAGCAGAGAGGGTCAAGCACTGAGATCAAAGGAAGGAGCAGGGCTGAAATCCTCCCCTGTGGAGGAGCAGGCTGCACCTTTCCATGGCTGGCTGATCAAAGGGAGTGCTGCTTTGGGTGGGGAGGACAGGAAAAACCCTTGCCTGTGTTCCTTCTCCCTGGGAAAACCAGAAGGCTCATACAGGTGGGCTCTTCATGGGCATTCCATTCTCACATCTTTAGTTACTGGCAGCAGCCTGGGAGAAGATGATGTGCCAGCCTGCATTCTTCTTCCCAAAATGAATATTGGAGTGTGCTGATAGAAATTGTGGGAGCTGTTCTTATCAGCTAAGGATCAGTGCCCTGCCCATCTGTGAGGGAGCACTGTGCTGTCCTGCTGGGTTACCCCATGCTCAGTGCAGGGAGCTGTGCTGTGCTTCCCTGGTACTGGCAGCTTCCTGGTCCTGCAGTGTGCCAGGAAGAAATTCCCTCCACACCTCTCTGGAGCCTGCTGTTGATGTTGCTGGCCATGGTGTTGGGGCTGCTGAAGAGGTCAGTGGTAGATTCAGAGCAGTGATGGTGAGATATGTTTGTTTGGCTTTGGGAAAACCGGGGAGATAATTTGAAACATGAGCTCCTGTTTTGAGGATGGCTTGTGTGAGTTTTGTATGCTGAGACCAAGCCTAGTGGGGTGCATAGCACAGGGATTTGATTTTGATTTCAGGGATCATGAATATCCTGAGCATATTCTTTAGATTGTTTGATCAGATCAAACAAAAGTGCTTGACAGTAACTGATGTAATTGGCAATTGTTAGACTTCGGGCTTATGAGGCATGCAAAGACCTGGCAACATTTTTAGAATCATGTTTTGGTGATGCAGCTGAAATGAGTGAGTTCTTGATCACAAGGAGCTCAGGAACAATTCAGTATTCCTGGCACCATAACTAAGAATCACAGTGTTCTCTGGGAGACAAAGTTGTCACTCCATGAGTGTCCTGTGAACTTTTATTCAATTCAGCAAAAGTTGTGATCACTTTTTCTTTCTTTTTTACAGCAGTGCTGAGTGACAGTAACTCTGTGAAGCTGAAAAGTGATCATTCACCTCCTGTGCAATGGTGTAAGGTGGCTGCACATGAAGATGAGAAGACCAAGCTGGTTTTTAAAAGGTACTCGCAAGTAAGTGTCATTGTCACAGCTACACAAAGGACAGTTGTTCTACCCCCAGCCTGGGCAACTGCAAAATGGATGCAGAAATCAAGGCATGGGATTGCCACTGGCTGTGAATGGAGGGTTGAGCACACAGCTTTCTGTGGGATACTGAAAACACTTTGTGGAGGCCAGGATAACTTGTAGTACCTATGTTCCAAAGCCAAAGTGAGATCTACTCACAAGTATTTCCAATCTTTTTTTATATGCAGATAAATAACAATGCTGAGACTTCTGTACAGTCTGGTAACTGAGGGAATGGAAGGCCAGTGGATGTTGAGTGGGTATCCTGGGGAGGTGTTTTCATGTAGTTATTTTGTTATGAAGACTTCTGGAATGCTACACCAAAAACCTTACTCCATTGTTTATAGCTTGACATCAAATTAGAATTAAAGGGTGTGTGCACACATAGATCCAGGACCAGTTTATACCTAAAATGTTCACTAGTGCAATGCCATATGAATTTTTAGGTCTTAAAGCTAAAAAACCCAAAGACACACTGCTATATAAACCTGAATGGTGCAACCCCAGCTGAATCTGGGGATACTTGATAAACTCCTGGAGGAAAACCAGCCTCATTTGTCAGCTATGAATCTCCTGCTCTCTGCCTGTTGGCTGAACTCCAGGGATTGCTGCCTAACATGCTAATGAAGCTGTTAGATCACCTATTAGTGGACAATGTAATTTAGTTGAGATGTGAGGACAGTCCTGCTTTTCCAGTGGTCACCTTGTTTGCAGCCTGTATTGCACACTGAGTGCTGGGATTGCATCTATTAGTTCACACAGTACAAGCTTTTTAAAAAAAATTGGAAATCTGTACTAACTTCATCTGAAAGAGTTTCAAGAAGCATTGGGCACTTAATAACTTGAACATTTTTTAAAGACATTTAAACAAACATCCAGTCCTTAGGAAACAATAGGAAATGAAAATCAATTAGAAAGCTCAAAATACATAGTTGAGCAAAAACTACAGCTTTAACCAAATGATGATGTAAATATTCCTCAGATGGGTTTAAACATGAAATGAGCTAAGTGACTTTTTGGATGTCAACATTGGTATTCTTTAGGAATGAGAAATTAGTAGATTAAAAATATGAATAGTCTATGTTCTTCAATTTTCAAGTTGGTTGCACTTTTTCTGCTGCATGTTTTGGGGGTGTAAGCAACTAAGGCTTTTCAGCCTGAGCATCTAAGTTCTGCATTCTGTCCTGCCAGTGAGTTGAAAGTTTTGTGTCAGTGGTGGCCATTGGCCCCAAATCATGCCATTTAAAGATCCAGTCTTTTTTTCAGCTTGTATGGAAATATGTTTTCTAAGATAAGACCTTTAAAAATAAAAAAGTCACTCCTGGTTTCATTATGTGAGGAGAACTGTTTGACTCCTCAGAGATACACTTAAAGTATATGAGGCAGGTTTTCCTTATCCAGGCATCCATATGTGTTCATATTTTTGTGCAGATAACTTTGAAGGGTTATACAAGACTTGAAGTCAACAAAGCAAAAGGGGCTTTTTTGATTGAAATGCAAATACTCACATCAAGTTCAACTGTCTTAAATTTGCTTAAAAATATTGATTTAATAGTTGATTGAACATCAGAAAAAAAAATTTTTGTTTTTCTCTCCTACCCCTCACTGTCCTGTTTGTTTTTAGAATTCTTGCACTGTTTGTGGTTGGAGGGTGCTTCCTTTATATCCTCAAATTACATCTTGACCCTGAGGAATGTGACAGAACAAAAATGCCATATGTGGACCTCAATCGTGTAAGTGTTGGTATTTTTGGCTTTTTTTTTTTCATTTGGCTTAAAAAAAAAGTTATTAATTGACAATACAAGACTTACAGGGCTCTACAACAAAGAACTAAATTGTTGGAATTACTATTGAGCAGAATTGTATTTTACTTCATCTCAAGCTGTAAACATTCTGGTTTTTTTCTTGTAAAAAGACAACAGAAGCACATCGAGAAACTGAGTTTTTAGGGGTGAAATTAGATAACTATGACTTTAAAATTTGAAATGGACCTTTCATCATCCCATTTTGTCAGTGCAGATGACACTGGTGATCAGAAGATTGATGCAAATGAAAAGTCCCACATTAAAATTGCCCAAAACTAATATATTAAACCAAAAGGGCTTCTTTTTTTCACCTAAGCCAGTCTCCCAGTCTGCTTCACCTTGTAGTTGCTCAGATGTTTTTGGAATCACAGGATAAATGTCCAAGAGGGTGTAGCTATTATTTCATTTATTCATTCAAAGTAGCAGCTACTTACTTTAGCTACAGTGTTGCATGAGCTTTCAAAGAGGTGTAACAGACACCATTAAAGCCTTTGCTACTTATCCTAGTTGCACTTTCTAACAGAACTTACCTGGCTTAGGGCTGTTACATTTCTGTCTTTGAATGTCTCAGTGCTCAAAGGCAACTTCTAGCAGAAACCTTGTCTTAAGACAGTCTAATCTTAGCCTTAGTGCATGTGCATCCTCCCACACTTGCCCTCATCTTCAGTGCATCTCCTTCCCCTTCTGAGCCTCTTTGCCTCCCCTTTTTCCTCATTTGACTTATTTATTTTTTCAATAACATTCCTGATTCTGAAGCACAAACACATTAAACCAAGCAAACCTTCATGGACTGTATTTATTGCTGTCTCAAAAAAGTACATTGTGAAGTTGTTCAGTCATGCTTTGCCCAGTGTGGTGTTTATGCAGAAACCTTCATAATGGTGGTAGAGGAAGTTCTGTAGGTTAATCTTGGTTAGGAAAAAAAAAAAACCACCAAACCAAAAACCCAGCATCAGAATTTCCTTCCCTGCGTCTTCCTTAGAGGAAGTTCTGTAAGTTAATCTTGGTTAGAAAAAAAAAAACAAACCAAAAAACCAGCATCAGAATTTCCTTCCCTGCGTCTTCAGATAGACACTATTGTTCCTTAGCAGGAGAGGAGAACTAAATTAGCAGTAGATTTGAATCTTGTGCCTTTGACTCCTGTGTTTGCTCATGGGGTTTTTTAATTACAGTGGAGGAACCTTTGCTGTTTCTCTTTTTGCATCAGATACCAGCTTGCCACTACAGATTTCTAAAAACGTGCACTAATAGTGTGTTGTTTTTATTATGAGATGGATCAATGTGTAGTTTTGTCTGTCACTTTTTTTTTATGCAATATAGGACTGTAGTCTCTTATATTGGTGACCAGTCTTTGAGACAAGGCCCGTAACACCCCCACCTGGCATTCCTTTTAAAGTCATGTTTTAGTCATTAGCACTTTAGCAATATTTATGGAAGAAGTGTTGCTTCATTCTGATGAGTGAGTCCAGCTGCTGTTGCACAGAACTTTTACCCAATGGATGTGTCTCTGGTGGAATCTCAGAGCAGATCTCAGGTCATGCAGTTGAGCAGAGTGGAATTCCATTTGCTGTGAAATTAGACAGGTAGATGTATGTCTGGATTTTTTTATTTGGTGTTGAAAATGGTGGTACAAACAGATCATTTTCACTTAGCACTTGTACTAGCCTAATATCTTCTTCAGAAAAGCTCATGTCTAGATTTAAGTGATTGAGTGGAGAGGAATTTCTCTGCAGGTTTTCACTGTGCACTGGCTCATATCTACATCTGAGTAAATGCTTCCAAATTGTTGTACTTCCACACTGAAGCTTTCTTTATAACCCCTGTGTTTGCTAAACTGTTGGTGGTCAGCTGGTGGCCCACATTTTGAGGACTTTGTGCATTCCTGCAGCTGCCTTTCCTGGCTGAATCCTGTGTGTTTTGTTTCAGAGGGCACAGCAATTTGCCAGCGCTGTGCTGCAGGAGCAGTGCCGACCTTCTCATGCAAAGAATGAGATGAAGAAGTTGTTAGCAGAGAAATACAGCATGGACATCTCTCCCTTTGTAAGGAAAAATATGAATGAAGATGAAGCTTTATTTAAATATGAACCTCCTTTTGGATTTCACAAGTTCTCTGATAAACTTAAAGATCTCCTTGAACTCTTACCTGAGCATGATTTACCAGAAGATTTGAAGTCAAAGCCCTGTAAGCGCTGTGTTGTTGTTGGCAGTGGTGGAATTCTTCATGGATCAGAGCTGGGTCACTTACTGAATCAGTTTGATATTGTTATAAGGTATGTCCTTTCCATGTAAGGACTCCAGCTACTTCTTCATTACTTTATGAGCCAGCATTGTTTTTTAAAGGGAAATAATCTCTAACATTGATGCAACTTATAACACTGTTTCTGAAAGTGCTTTTGAGAAATTTACCTGGGACTTGGTGGAATTTGAAGGCTTAGGAGCAAAGTAAAATGTCATGTTTACAGGAAAGGAATTCACAGCAATTATTTGTGGACGTCAGGTACAAAAATCACATGGGCAGAAACTAGATAGAAACTAGTGACATCATAGACAAGTAGACATTACTGAGTTTATTTTAAAGCTTTCAAATCTTAAGCTTCAGTACTTAAGGACTCTCCTCTGCTTTTTTTCCCCATGTCTTGTTTGGATGCTTATTTGAAAGATTTTTTTATGACAGCTATTTCAAACACAATAAAAATTAATTGGTGTTTCAGTACACATTTTATAGCACACTTATCTTCCCTTATCTTTACAAGGTCATTGACTGTTTTCTGTGATTGCCTTGATCTCTGACATCTGAATTACATATTCTGTATTTGTGCCTTCTGAACATTACAGTTTGAACCAACTTATTTTGAATCATGCAAAGTCACAAATAAAATTAATACCAGCGTTTTCTCAACTTGTTTTGTAAATGATGCTTGCTTATCTTATTGAGTAATATTTAATTGAATCAATAGCCCTTATTCAAAGATAAACAAACCTTGTTAGCATGTGGAGGAGCAGAGAACTTGCATTAGCTGTCCTCTAAAATTAGGGATGGCAGGATGAAGGTGATTTTTCTGCTGATTTGGAAAAGTTTGCAGGACTTGAGCTATTTTGCAGAACTCAAGCTATTCTGCAGAACTCATGGAGGGAGATGATGCCATTCTTGTCAGCAGTGTGTCAGCATCTGAAGTTTTTGGTGAGCTGGAAATGATACAAACCCACAGGATGCATTACATTGCATTGGAGGGATAATTTGAATGGTTTTTTTTTTTGTGTGGAATACTTTTGTGTGTGTGTATATATATAAATATACATGTATGAAAAGGATAACACAGGCAACTTTCTGTGTGTTTTCTTCCTCTTCCACTTTTAAGCTTATTTTAAGCAAAGCAAGAGATATGAAGTTCTGCAATGCTGTGTTAAGTCACTTTACTCTTCAAGCTTTTCTTTCCCAAGTTCTGCATTTGTGCCATTTAATCTAGAAATAGAATTTGCTTCCTCCCAAAGATAAAAGGGCTGGAAGAATGAATGAGGCAAGAACATGGGGGTTGTAAGACAACACTGTAGTCTGTTCTGTTAAAAATCTGTGGGCCAAATAACAAGTTTTTGTTTAGTGATATTTAATGAGATTGTAACCTGTTTATTTAGTACCCCTCCACTGTGGGTTTCTTTTCCCCCAGGTTAAATGATGCACCAGTGCAAGGCTACACGGATCACGTTGGTAACAAAACAACAATACGCATGACTTACCCCGAGGGAGCCCCCCTTTCTGAGCACGAGTATCCTCCTGCAAGCTTGTTTGTGGCTGTCCTGTTTAAAGGAGTTGATTTCAACTGGCTTCAAGCCATGGTAAAAAATGAAACCTTGGTATGTAATGTGACAGTCTCACATACATGTATTTTTGTTTGTTTTGTTTTCTAATGCTTAAAGAAGCTGATTGATCTGTTACTTCCTGGCTTATCGTGCTGAGGATCTTTTATATAACCTTTTGGGGTTTTTTTAGCTCTGTCTCCTAGTTACAGTTGAACCAGCATTTGTGTTGAAGCCCCATGCTGACAATAAGACTATTTTTGTGGAGATATTGGTGGTTTGCACCAGGCTACGTGACATACTGAGTGTTTGCTGAAGTGGAATTAATTTCACATTTGGTTTAAGTGACTTGATCAAGTCTGCAGAGCCCAAAATAGAAATGAGAAGATTTCTGAATGCTAGTCCATTTTTTTAGCAGCTAAAGTCTGTACTGCTACAATGGGCTTACATGGAATTGATGTGTAATTGAACATTTGTCTAAGGTTCCTAAATTATGAAGTTGCTTATTTTTCACTAAACATTTACAGAAGTGCTGACATTCCTAAGGAGCTGAGATTCCCAAGGGTCTGATGTTTCCAAATTAATGTGAATTGGTGGCTTCCACCTCTTTTAATCTGCAGGCAGATAATTTCAGCAAGTAAAAATTACTTGGCAGTAGAAGGCAGCCTGTCAAATCTTTTAACAGTTTGATCTCTGCTAGTTTAGGTACTCTAAATTCCTTTCTTAATTCTGTGATTTTTACAATATGAGAAAGTGTGTTTAATCTTGACCATGACTGTCTACTATTACACTGAAGAGTCAGGAAGATGCTTAAGGGACTGGAGCATCCCTACCATGAGGAAAGATGGATAGAACTGGGAGTGTTTAGCCTGGAGAAGAAAAGGCTTGGAGGGGATCTTATTAATGTACATAAATATCTGAGGGGAAGGTGCCAAGAGGATGGGGCCAGGCTCTTTTTGGTGATGCCCAATGATAGAAGAGGGGACTTGTCAGGTTGAATATCCATGGACATCTTCCTTAAAATCATCTAGACATGGTCCTGAGCATCTGGCTCGAGGTGTCTGCTTGGGCCATGGGAGTTGGACCTTGTGATCTCCAGAGGCCCTGTCTAACTTCAGTGGCTCTGTGATTCTGTGAGCTGCAACCCTACTTCTTTCAAACACTCAGCTGCCACTTGGCTCAGCTCTCTGTGCAGGCTCTGAAGTAAACTGACCCAGAGCATGGTTGGGAAAATGGGAGCACTGCAACCTGTGTTTGATCAGTTCAAGCTGTTGTTCCTTAAAACCTGTTAAAAAAATACAGGTCTGTGTTAAGCTGTATCAGTTTGTTTGCTTAATGTTGCCCATTTCATGGAAAGACTTGCAGAATTAGTGTGATTTCCTGGGATTTCTTCTTCTTCCATTAGCAGGCATCTAACTGACTGCAGTGGCATGAGATCAGAGTCTGGGTTTCTGAGTCCTGTGTAAATCCTCTTCTGAAGGGTTACATTTATCACTAGGTGGATGCTGTCAAGCAACAACTTCAGAGCCCAAGCACAATTGTTTTAAATCTGGTACTTGCTTCAGAATGCCTGGTTAATGTTTGGGGAACTGTTTCCCTTCCCCATTTCTTTAAATACTGTTGCCTGCTCAGCTGTGCTGGGGTAGGCTGAAGAACCCATGGGTGCTGGTGAATATGTTGACTGATAAACACAAAGTGCAGTCAAATATTCAGAACAAGCAACTATTCCCTCTGCTGTCTTCTCTACAATCCCTCATACTTTGAAGGTTTTTTCCTCTTTTGGGTCAATCATTTGATCTGTGCAGTGATATTTCCAAGCCACCTTAGCTGTAAACTGTTTCCTAAATTTTTCAGGGTCACTAGTGAATTCTGTATCTTGTGTGCTGTGTTTGTCTCGGAGTTTCCCTCTGAACTAGATTTTTTATTTCTCTTAGCCTCTGTTAATGCCACTCTTCTTCTGGAAGGGGGTTGCTGAGAAAATTCCTTTGACACCAAAGCAGTTTCGGATTCTGAATCCAGTCATTATCAAAGAGACAGCTTTGGACATTTTAGAGTTCCCTGAGCCTCGATCAAAATTCTGGGGTTGGGATAAGGTAAGAAGTTTCCTTTCACCAAAAGGAGACACTAAAATACAAAGTAAATAAAATAAGAAACTGAAAAAACTTTTGGGCTTTTTACTTTCTCTATGCAGTTTCTGACCTGGTCTAAGTTAATAGGGACATTAATGTGCTTTCAAAAGACTCTTGTATTTTCGTGTGCAAAATCAAGGTAAGATTTCAGCTGACCTTTTTAGAGGTATTTTGCCTGGGTATGCTGACATGAAATGGCATTCAGATGCAGTGAGACATAAACTCATTCCAGTGTTTAAAAACATGCATTTGATGTATGTTAAGCCTGTTAAAAACAGCCCTGTTAAGCTAAACCAGCCATCAGCTGTAGACAGATGTTTCCAGCTGCAGGGAAAGCAGAGAGAGCCTGGAAACCAGGCCAGTGTGAAGCAGCCTTCCAGCTGGAATTGCTGTGTATGCCAGAGAATGCTCAGTAGCAGCTGATGGGCATTTCCTCCCTCCATGTCCTCTGCTCCAGCAGTGGAACAGAGTGATGAATTGCCTGGTTTAATTATACACTGCATTTTTGGTACTTTAATTGCATTTTTGAGAAATTCAATGTCACTAGTTTTCTTGAACTACAAAAATTACTAATCACCATCTTTTTACCAAAATGTAAAAGCACTTAAGATTATTGCACAAATATTTGAAGGATCTTCTCACATTTATTTATCAAAATAACATAAAATACCAAGCTGAGTATCTTAATGGTACTGTAGTATATTTGCCTCTTTCACAGGTAATTCACTGCAAAGTCATATTGTGAAGAATGCTGTTAGAGAGCCTGTTGTTGCTCAAGACTTAGATAAGTATACATCAAGAAATGTCAAGTTTAGCTTTCTGTCAGGGGTTGTGAAGAATGCTATTAGAGAGCCTGTTGTTGCTCAAGATTTAAGTGTACATCAAGAAATGTCAAGTTTAGCTTTCTGTCAGGGTTTGTTTGACTGTTTGAAGTGAAGGATCACTTGCAGTTTAACTACACAGTGATAGGGCATCTTGCCTTCACAGGAAAAAAAAAAAAAATTAGTGTTGACAGCCAAAAGCCAAATACTTAAATTGTATTGGTATTTTGCCCTGGAGTTGTTAATTTTACTTGATCATTGAATTGATTTTTAGTTGTAGTTATAATTGATTTTAGTTTTGAATGAGGGGAGGGAATAGACAAAGTCATTAGATTTGTAAAGTGTTTAAAAACCTGGTAAAGGACAATATGTTTGAACTGAGAAAATTTCACTTTTCTCCCTTTTTAGAATGTACCTACAATTGGGGTCACAGCAGTTGTTCTGGCCACACATCTTTGTGATGAAGTGAGCTTAGCAGGATTTGGATATAACCTGGATCAGCCCAGCACACCTTTGCACTATTACGACAACCTCTGCATGGCTGCCATGAAAGAACAAACTATGCACAATGTGACAAGTGAAACAAAATTCCTACAAAAACTGATCAAAGAAAAAGTTGTCAAAGACCTCACTGGAGGGATACACTGTGAATTCTGCAGCAAAGACAGCTAGTGACCTTCTTGCAGCATGGATAGGATTTGTTACATTTCCAGAGGTTCAGCTGGATCAACCCTTTCCTTCTCTTCAGTTCTTTAAAGTGTACATGAAATGGACATGGGATCCCTGCTGCCTTTTTTAATGTCCCGTTCAAGTTGTCAGACTTTAAAATTAATTTTCCTGTGAGAATTTACTTTGCACATTTCTGTGAATAGCTGTGTAAATATCTTGTCAATTCAACTTAGAGTTGAAAGACATCCATTTAAAGTATTTAATATTTTAAGTTGTCAAAAAAAAGCAGTTTTTGTTTTCAAATGTATATGGAACACACGTGGCTGGCCTGAATTGTCTAACAGAATGTGCAAGAGTTATTTTTCCCTGATCTGCTGTCTGTGTTGATCCAGTTCTTGGTATCATGACTCCTTTTCATGCATGCCATGAAAAGAAAGGCATATGCTTCTCAAGTCTTGCATGTCTTGAACTTGAGCATTGCATTTACTCCTCAAATATTTATATTCTTTTGCTAATACCTTTTTGGGGTGGTGAAGGACAAATGTAGGAGTGGAGTTGAAGGAAAAAGAATTGTTGTGGCAACAACGGAGTAGTAAGTACTTTGATGTTCATGATTGATATTAAAACCATTGATGTATTAATGTTTTGGGTTAGAATCCTGCTTTGTGAAGCACGTTTGGGCCCAGGGCACTCTAGAAGAGGATTTAGCCAGGAGGAGGCTTTAACCCAAACCAGATCATTTGTCATTTCCATTCCTGAAGATCTGCCTAAATGTTTCTAACTAGATGATTTGCAGCAGAGTTCAGCTACCCCAATTAAAGAAGTGGCATTAATACAAAATCTGCCCCTTTTTTAAAATTTATTTTTTGAATGACTTGAGAATTGCTGGTTCTATAAAACACTAGTTTGTATCACTCATTTAGCAATTCTAAAATCTATTACTAGATTACAATTTCCACTGGTTAATTTTATGATCCTTAAGTAATTAATTATAGATATTGTCACCTTAATAGTTTGCAATGCTGATAACCTTTGTGAAGTCCAGACTTGACTAATTGGAGAGGTAGAATTGTTGGTTTTCCCCAAGTCAGTAATTGGGTGAGTGTATAAGTTAAGAAGAAAATCACTTTAAGAAAGTAGCATAATCGAGTAACAAGGTAGATAACTGCTGAAAACAGCAAATTTAAAAAAACAAAAATAGGAAAGAAAGCTATAGATGTATATTCTTGGGGGTGGAAATCAGTGCACTGCAAAGGCACTGGGCTGTGCAGATCTGTGAGCAAGTTTTTGTGTTTATATTTTTGTTATTAGTAAGAGTATCAGGTTTGACTGTTTGCACTGAGGAGTGGTGTTACTCAATCTACAGCATAAGAAAAAGCTTCCTTTGGCAGTGGAAGCTTGTCAGTAAATCAATCAAAGGTTGGCCTAGAAACATTGCTATTAGTCATGGACTCTTCCCCTGGTGAATGCTCCCACTTTTCTTTGTTATGGATGAAGAGATTAATGAAGTTGTAGTTCTAAATTTTAAAAACACTCATGTGGAAATGCAAGATTAGGGTGGTTGTGTTTTGGGGTTTTCTTCACTGGAGAGCAGATCTGATGAATGATAATGTTAGAATGCAGGAGCTCACTGATGCTCACTGCTGTACTGAGAGGCAACAAAAGGACATCAGATCATAAAGCATAACTGAAGAAAGTTGTGGACCTCATCTTTCCTAAGTCCCACATGTCTATAGGTCCTTCAAAGCCAGTTGTGGGGGCTGAACAAATTAGAAAATCAGGAATTCTTGCTTCTGGCACTATCTGTGTTGATAGCAATAATATTAATGTAGCCTCCTCTTCCATGAAAAGCATTAATTTTTATACTAGCAATAAATTTTTAGTTTGTTTTTTTTTAATGTATATTATTTAATTTAAAAATATTTCATGTGTGAAGAGTTTTATACAAATAGTCCTTTAGTTAATATATTAAAATGCAGTAACTGTTTTCTCCTGGTATTTGAACTGGAAGCAGATTACATTAATGAAATTTTGGAGGATTTCAGAATGTGTGTGTTGGGAGGATGTCTTGAATACACCAGAAGTCTGTATGTCTGAGCACGTGGTCCCTCACCACTTTGTTTTGTTCAGCAAGTTAAAAATAATCAGTTGATTAATGTAAATGCCAATAGCTTTTTGGAGATGCTGTATTTACTGTCAAATTTGCAAATTGTGTGGATGTAGGATTAGAGTGCCTACCTGTTTTATGGCTTGTGATAAAACCTTGTTCTCCATGGTAGTCTGTGCAGACTCAACACTCCATGAAATGGCAGCAAAAGGCAATAAACTGATGAAACCACTTTCTATTTATGTATTTGTCTCTCAGTTTGCTATTTGTTCTCCCTCCTTTATTAAGGATTTTGCACGTCTTGCTGATCCAGCTGAAAGTCTTGATGCAATCCCACATACCCCAAAACAGGGGAGATAGTAGCTGGTAACTTTTTCTCTGTTCATTTATGCCTTTTTAATGCCTGTCAGTGGAATTATCTGTCTGGTGCTTGGAAGAGAGAAACCCTCTCAACACTGACCAAAGTGTGGGCTTCCAAGATTTTAAAGTTAATGTGGATGTGAATATTTTGGACTGGGTTATAGCATTGGCCTTAAAATCAGGGGTGTGTTTCCTACAATGGTGTAAACACTGCAGCTTCTGATCTGTGCCTCAGCCTCACTGGGAGTGAGATAAGAACAAAGCTCTGTGTGTTCTGTTACTGTTTCACAGATTTATGCTTTGCAAAGAATCTGCATCCTTTGTAAATAGGCCTTAATAGTGTTTGGTTAAAAAGTCACCAAAGAGTTTGGGAGCTGTGATAAAGCCATGTGTTCTGCATTGAAATCCTTTTTGTGACTCTCTTTGTAGGAGCTGTCACAGCCAGGGTTATGCCTTATCTGTTCTGGTGCTGAATGTTTTCATGGTTCCTGTGCAGGAAATTGCACAAGGGGACATGAAGAGCTGCCTGACTCTGGAGTGGGGAAGTGCCAAAAAGGGTGACTGCAGTGATGGGCTGGCATCAAAACTGGGTACTAAACTTGTGGGGACTGTTGAGCTGCTGATAAGGAACTGAAGAGAGTTCTGAAGAGAGCCTCTCCAGTGTGTGGATAGCTCCAGCTCTTGTGCTGCAGTTGGAATTCCTGCAGGAAATGGGAGGGCACTGGGGGAGGCAGCTGTGTAGCATGAGTGTGATCCTCTTTCCTGTGCAAGGGAGGATGAAGGGGAGCGCCTCTGTTAAGACCAGCTCAGATGTGATGCTGTGCCTTCCTTCCTCCAGCAGCAGGGTTTTGTACAAATGCTTGATTTTACCAGCTTAGGAAAAGGTTCTTCCCCCAGAGGGTGGCTGGGCACTGAGCAGGCTCCCCAGGGCAGTGCTCACAGCACAGCCTGGCAGAGCTCAGGAGTGCTTGGACAATGCTCTGGGGCACAGGGTGTGATCCTGGGGATTGGTGCTGTGCAGGGCCAGGAGCTGGACTGGATGATCCTTGGGGGTCCCTTCCAACTCAGCTTGTTCTGTGATTCTATGAAATGTGTGTACATCCTGGTTAAAAGAGTTTTGAGCCATTTGGCATCAAGTGTTTTCCCAGATCTCCTGAGGTGCTGGAAGATAAACAACCCACCCCCAGAGTCCTTTAGGGGCTAATGCCCCTAATGTCTTATATCTCTAATTGTCTTTAGCTACACAAATGATGCTTTTCTTATCACAAACAGTCCCCTCATTTCTCTGCCTCTGTGACCATTGTATTTTTCCTAAACCAACCCTGTGAGCAGGGACTGAAGCACCCTGTCCCATAGGTGATGTGAATTACAAATTGAGTGTTGCACTTCAGCATGTCCCTAGCCAAAATGGGGGGGTGCTGCAAAACTTCCTACATTGTGTAGATGTATAATCCTCCCCACCTCTCCCTGGAAAGGAGCTGCAGTGGCTCATAGCTCTGTGCTGGTGTTGGAGCTGTACATTGCCATGAGGGAATCCTTCTGCTTCAGCTCTATCTGTATTCCTTGCTCCTCTCTGTACAGCTTATTCCACCTGTGTGCTCAAAGCAACAAAATCCTTAATTTAAAAAAGTGCAGTAAAATGCCTTCCTTGAATGATGATAAGGAATCTTTTTGGGGGGGTGCTAGTGTGTGTTCCTCACAAGCTGCAGTCTAAACTATCAGATGTGATTGACTTTCTCAAGGACATGACAGTATCAGTGGTTCTCTGATGGTCAAGGTAGAAAGCAAGAGTTAAATCAACTTTGCAGTGACTGCTCCTGTGGTTTATGTGAATGTGAAAAGCCAGGAATTGCCAGCACTGGGTTTTCAAGTGGGGGAGTGCTTGTTCCAGCAGATTTACCCTTTTCTCCTTGTCCAGGCACTTGTGCATCACCTCTGCGTGGTTTAACAAAAAACCCAAACACACCTGTGACTGAATCTTGACTGAAATTCTCATGCCTTTCAACACTTGTGTGTTCTGTTCTGTGAACTGGAATTAAAGCTGCTCACTCTTGGAGAGTTGAGCAGGGCTGAACATCCGTAGTTTACTTCCCTTAGGGGTCATCTGCCTGATCATTTGTTTTCACAGCCTCCCTCTCCTGTGCTTGGGCCAAAATCAACTTCTTCCCAAGATCCTGCATATGCCATAGAGGAGAACAAAGGCTTCTTGTTCAGTGCAGCCACTCCTGCTCCCTCCTCGTGGGCAGCAAGGAGCCCTGGCCTTTGCAAGGAGGCATTTCCTTGCAGGGGATGGCTTTGGCACTGGTCAGGCACTGGAGCTGCTCCTTGGAAGAGGCTGCCAAGGCTCAGATAGAATGTGGTGGGCAAGTTGCAGAAAAAAAACATTTTCCGCAAGCTGGAGTCATCTCCCTGTAAAAGGAAAATTGGAAATCCAAACAGCTGTGGCAGTGCTGAACATCAGACATTTACTTCCCAGTGATCTTTGTGTTCCTGTTGTGTAGCTAAAAAAAATTATTCTGTAGCTCAAGGAAGTCTTGAGCCCTAGCTTGGGCCTTCAGCATATGAGCCAGTCTGGAGGGAAGCAGAAACACTGCTATTTGCAAATTTCCCCTTTTTCCTACCTGATTTGAGCTTACAAAACCCCAAACAAACCCATTTTGCAGAAGCTGGAGTTACTTTCCCGATTATTTTAAATACCTGGGTGTGGATATTCTCAGTTCAGTCAAAGAGAGAACAGAGACATTTTCTCCCAGGCTGAGCCTAGGAATCTTAGACAAAAGAATTCAAACAATTATTATCTCTCTTTCTGTAACCATTGTTTATAGTTATGGTTCTTCACAGCCTACTATTCATAGCTATGAATAATGTGAGATGTTTTCTACACTGAGACCAATCCGGTCCCACTTAGCAAGTGAGACTATAAAAGCTCACTGCTTCTTGCTAATAAAGATCCTTCTTGAGCCTCCTGGTCCACCTAAAGGCTCTTTCCATCCCTGACTCAACAGCATCACCTGGGTACCAAAAATCCACCCCCGTGCCTGACCGCAGACCTGGGGCTCGCAGCTAAGAGATGCTGAATTTTAGGCGGTGCTATAAGAACAGATGAGGTGAAATGCCCATGAAAGCAGCGCTGAGGAGGGCTCCCCTTGGTCAGCAAAAGCAGCTTGGGCTCTGCTCTCGGCTGAAGCTCTGGTTGGAGTTTCAGAGGTCGGCGGAGGAGGGGTGAGCGGGCGCGCAGCCCCATCTAGCGCCGCTCCGGGCTCTGCAGCCCCAGAACGGGAAAATGATGGGGCGTGACACAGGCAGGAGGTGGTACTGGTGAGCCTGAGAGGAAAGATGAGCGGAAGACAGGAAAACATGGAAATAAAAAGAGAGGGAGCTTCAGTCAAACAAAGTGCGGTTTTTTGGAAGTGAGTGTTTACAGCCAGCCCTTGGAAAATGAGCTGAACCAAAGCCAGCATGGAGATGATGTAAATTGGCATAAATAGTGCCTGGATGTTTACATGCAGCTAGTTTTCCAGTTAGGCATAATCAGAGGTGGATGACATACAAGTGCTTTGGCCTGGACAAGTCCCTCTCAGGTGGACAAAAACAAACACAGCACACGGAGGCTGGTGCTGCAATGTGAGCCTGAAGGGAAGGGCATGGGAATGAGCTGCTTTCCGTGCTCAACACACAAGTGGAGCTCAGGATAAGGGCATTTATCTGTGGGAATGAGCTGCTTTCTGTGCTCAACACAACAAGTGGAGCTCAGGATAAGGGCATTTATCTGTGGGCTGTACAGCTCGGGGAAGGCAGCAGTTTTCAGCCCTAGAGGGAGCATTTGTTGGGTCATTCCATTTCTCAGGGAGCTGGGCTGATGCACGGAGGTCTGTCCAGCCTGACTCAATCCTCTATGCCACCAGAGAAATCTGGAGGACAAAAAAAATCCATGAGATCTCTGAAATCGTGGCTGGCAAGGACATTTGGACAAGCAGAGACAAGCTAGTCCAGAGAAGACCATGTGAAGGCTCAATAGCAGAGACAGTGATTACCTTCTTCCCTCTGCATCATTCTGGGGAAAAGACAAGCAGTAACAGACAAAAAAAGCATCCTGAGAGGTTTAGGTTCAATAAGGAGGTTTTTCTAACATGAGATTAGAGAAGCATTAGTGTGAATTGTGCTGGGAGGCTTTCCAGCACTGGAAAGTTTGAAGACTGCACTGGATAAGCTCCAGCCAGGACTTTTTCAGCTGCAGCTGATCCCACTGTGGGCAGGGGATGGATTTAGCTGCCCTGGGGGAGGAAGGGAGTGTTCTTTCCAGCCTCTCTTTTTGTCCTTTCGATTTAGTGCCTGATATTAGATACTGATACTGGGGCAGTGGTTACTCATCCTCGCTCCTGAGGCATTTTTGGATCTCTTCTTATAGGACATGCCTTGAAAAAGTCATAGAACTGGGGACAGACTTTTCCCTGTGGCTAAAGCTGGGGCAGAGGGGAGGGAATGCAAGCCCTTGATTCAGAAGGAGCTGTGAGCTGAATCCCACGATGGCTGAAATTGCAGCATCTTCTGGACTGATTTAAAATTACTAAAATGATTTTTTCCATCTTGGAAAAAGCACCTTATCAACTTGAAGTGGTTGTTATTTAGTTGGAGATGTGTCTTCAGGTGTGCTTGAGCACTGGAGCTAGAAGTTCCCTATCTTATTGAGTGGTGATTGGGAGTGTCAGCTTAGGAGAGGTTCCCCATTGTGCAGAAATAAAGAGAAGGCTCAAAAATTGCAGGAAACCTGCCCTCTGCACTTCCATTTAATTTCTCTCTCCTCCTGTGAAAATAATGTGTGAAATCTGGAGAAGCTGGTTGGAGCCAAAGGATGTAATCGAGCCTGACACTGTAAAACACT